GAATTAAAAATAACATTGTAATCTGCCACAAACAACATAAGTCACGTATTAATGTCTTAATCAAAAATCATGATTTTATTTATTAATGCAAAACATATTTTAACTTCTCTTATACTATGTGACACAATGTAAATAAATACTCCATTGCTTACAGTACGGGAAATGGTTTCAATTTGTGTATGTACACAGTAAGTTTACATTGTCGATTGCTGTCTCTCTGCTGTGTACGTTACCTAGGTTTTATAACTTCAATATTGAAGGTACTAGTTAACTCAAGACACTGAATTTCGATTGCCTTAAAACTTATATGAATTCAACCCTTTAATGGTTACAAACTTTGAACGCTACTAGAGCAATAGGTGAGATTAATATGACGCTCTCTTTTTTGGCATGCCTTTGGCAGACCTTTGACTCCTCTATGCTCCTATCATAACACCGGCCCTGGTTACAAAGTATGGAATTGTGTGAAAGAGGATACATATGTTAGATTGAAGTGTATTTAAATATGACGGCAGATAGAGATATATAGGCTGGGCTGATGACGTCATCCCTTTTACTTTTTAAATATATATAGATAAATAGGAAGTGTAGTTTTTTTTAATATTTTTTTTGTAAGCTTATTATATACGCTTTTAGTCGAAGTTACTTTTGGAAATATGCGACGCAATTCTTAACTTTGTGCAGATTTTTATGCTACTGGTATTTTGTTTGTGCTTTTTCTCATTTTTACTAAACTTTACCACAACTTACTATAGAGAAATGAATGTTTAAGTATGTTGGTACAAAAGTTACTCGCCTCGCTACAAAAGTTTGTGTGAAGCAAAAGTTATTACCATCCCAGTGTTTTATAGCAACATCTTACTTAATGCGAATGTATGGATGGATGATTGCTAGAAGGTGTCTTCAGAACGGTATGGATCTTGCTGAAATTTGGCATAGATGAACAAAGGAAAGAACACATAGTGACCTATATAAAAATAATAACATAATTTAGTTTAAAATAGATTTTTCTAGTAAAGCAAAAGGTAAGGCTAGTTTATATCCACTCACCTGTCGACAAAGCATTGGATCTTTAGAACACATATTAGAGACATCAACACATGCGTAGTTAACAAATAGATTAACAATTTAAATATACTATGTTATTCCCAAACTAGTTTTATTACGACATTATTCCTAAATAATCTTAGTAAATATCGCGTTACATTTAAAATAGACAATAGCTATTTGTTAATGAAAACAGTTTTTAGAATGTCTTTTTATCTAACGGTTTTATTTTCGCTCGACTGATAAAGGGTGTTTATTTTTCATAGTTTATATACCTAGTTAGTTGTTAGGAAGAAAAGACCTACACTGTTTTGTGTATCGGCACAACACTAGCCTTATTAAAATATCGTTTATGTCCCCTCACTGACACTTGACTTTGTAATGAAAGTGCGCAATTGATTTTAAATTATTCAAACTAATTATATTAACATTATAAATGCGAATGTTTGGATTGATAGATGTTTCTCAGAAGGTATATCTCCAGAACTGCTCTACGGATCTTGATAAAATTTCTCACAGATGTAGAACATAGTCTAGAAGAACACATAAACTACTTATTAAGTTTTTTTAATTCCGATCGGACGGAGTCTAAGGCGACAGCTAGTATTGTCTAAAAATATGAAGATACGGAAGAACAAACAAAAATAATTAGCATTTTTCGAAAAATCAATATTGCTAATTAATTCTTGAAGGGATCATAAATGTAATTGAATTTAAGAAATTCAAAGGTTAAAAATATCAGTGGTGAAGTTTAAATTGTTAACGTATAAAATTTATCCGTTTTTAAGCTAAATTTATATTAACGAATATAACTTTCTAGAAAAGTTGCCAACAATTTATAATATTGAGTAATTTTCGAGAGAACGTTGAGAAAGAATGTAGGAAGTTTTTTGATTCGTTGTTCTTTCTATATGGAGATGTTTAACCTAGTATTTAAATAGATGATGAATCAGTACTGTGTGAATTTTTATAACATAAACCACTGTATATCAATGTTGTCTCCAACTTAAAACATCTAGTTTATTTATAAAAAGTGATAGAAAAACAAGCCAACGGACTATACGATTAACGCCATCTATTGGGTGCATTTTATAACTAATACATTGAGTTTTCATATCGTACATTAAACTTTATTAAATTTTAAAAAATGATTCACCAAAACAAGTTCGATATCAATGCTCCATATTTTTTTACCGATTTCCAAAAAAAGAAGTTGTTCTCAATTCGTCTGTATATTATTTTAGTCAGTCATGTTCCTATTATGACAGCCCGTACCCTAAACGACTAACCGTGGGATTCTGAGTATAAAACACAGTCATCCCTGCCTTTCATACTTGACAAAACAGACATGACAATATTCATATGTTAAACGGGGATTTTGGTCTCAAGAACCCACAGATTTTGAAGAGAAAGGTGTCATTATATCAGTATTTTTTCCATGAATGTCATAGAGGTAGTGTCAATCAGGTTTTTGATGAAAATTACTGCAATTTCCTTATGTTTAATGTCTTATTGGAAAATTGAAAGTGAAAGTAAACTCAAAATATGTTTACATAATTAAAAATTAATCGGTTTTTAATAACACGGTTATATCTTCGCGTTTATCACCGTTTTACGCAAAAAATAATTGCTAACTAAAAACACACAACATTTATTTTACAATAATTTTATTGCATAGTCTTTTTATAATACAAGATAAATATAAATTTAGTAAACATTCAGAGGTAGAGTCCGCTTTAACATCTCACGAATTGTCGGTTCACCCGTTCCAATACCTAATTTTAGTCGTCTTTGCCTACCCACCCTTTTTCTTATAAAGGATGGGAAGTGGAAGTGGATTTTCCGGATCCAGATTCTTTCTGTGCATTCCCTCCGCCGTCGATTAATGGTAGGCAACGCATCTGTAATTGCGTATGTCTATGGGCAACGGTCTCTTCGCTATTTCAGCGATTTCTGGTACCCGCTTGATCGTTTGCCGTCTTATCATATAAAAAAATATCAAAAAGGAACAGGTCTAAAATAACCGTTAATATAATTCTAAATTTAAAAATCGATTTACCAAAATACTGCGACTTTTGTTCGATTTCTTTTGTTTTATTAGTAAACTAATCTTATTTATGAAACAAAAAGGTACTTTCATTATTATAAGTTGAAAATAATCTAAAAATTCCTAGCTCCATTGGAAATAATTAATTCAATTTCAGCATCTGTTCTTTTAATACCTTTTATTTCATCTTCTATTTCTTGCAAACTTTTATCCTTTGTTTCTGGTAGTATATAATATAATATAGCTAAACATATAGTAACACATAGACTAAATACAAAATAAGTGCCGCCTACACCCATTCTTATTATCATTAAAGGTACAATTTTCATAGTAATAGCATAAAACAAAGTAAAAGCAATGCCAGTTGTAAGAGAACCTATAGCTCTATGTTCCAATGGGAATATCTCCATTGAAATAGTAAAACAAACTGGTATCAAACTAAAAGTACTAACAAAACTATGTAATAATATTAAAAAAGTCGTAATCCATTTATTTAATAAAATATCTTTAAGACCTTCGGATAAAGTAACAGAGTACATCAAAGCTATAGACAGGGTACCGAATTTAAATAATATTGTTCGTCTTTTAAATGATTTTATAACTAAAGTTGATATACATAAAGCTATAATTATTAAACAATCTGATATAATTGAACAGTATATCGATATGTATTTATCGCCAGTTAATTCAATCATAATCTGTGTAACATAACCTATAAGAAAATATCTACCACTGAAATCGACAGCTATAGTAGCAAGAGTTGCGATTAAAAAAGGTATTAGAAAGTCTCTTCTTAATAGTTTTTTAAACCATCTAAATTTCTTATCCTTTCTTTTCTGTTTATTACATCTTCTTTCCATTTGTGCGGCGATTAATGAATTCATTTCACGTTTACTTTCATATGAATCACCATGGTACCATACGAATGATTTCATGCAATCCGAATATTTACCTTTCACTGCGTAAAACGATGGACTCTCTGGACAGAATGTAATTATTATTATTGCTAAAACATGTGGTATGATTGCCACTTCAGCAATTCGCCTCCAATCGTAATAAAGCGCTAGACAATGACATAATAAACTTCCAAATGATAAAACTGTTTTTTTAATAGTCAAAAATACGCCGCGTTTATTTCTATGTGTAAATTCACTAATTGTTAACCCGATCACAATAAGTCCACCAATTGATAGTCCTTGCATGAACTTTGCAATTAATAACATGGTGACACTTTTACTGATAAATAATAAGATCCATCCGATTATTAAACATATTTGAAACAAGATATTGACAGGCTTTCTACCTAAAATTTGTATTAAAGGAGCGAAGACAAAAAAACCGATTAAACCAGAGAAGCCTTGGATGGAAGCTGAAACAAAAAAATGCGTTTGTCATTTATCTTGAAATCAGAATGCTTAATGTAATAATAACTTGATAGTTATTAAGGTGTGATCCCATGAGTCTGTCAGCGCGGAAATAAAGAAAAATATTTGTCTATGTGTTCTTCCAGATGAAGAAATTTCAGCTAGATCCGTGCAGCTGTTCTGAAGATACTTTCAAATAAACATTCATCCATCTAAACATTCGAATTTATAATATTACCAGCTCCTGAATCTTATATTATATAATATTATAAGTTAAGCAATGGCTGCAGAGACAGGAACCACACTCACGGAAAATGTACTTGTAAAATGACAAAAACTTGTCATGATAGCTACAGTACGTACTTGTACACTTGACTGGGGGGCGCTAGTGAGCTGTTTTAAACTATACTAATATTATAAAGCGGAAGAGTTTGTTTGTTTGTTTAAACGCTATAATCTCAGGAACTACTGGTCTGATCTAAAAAAATTCTTTTTTTGTTTGATATTTGATATGTTCGATTTATAGAGGAAGGCTATAGGTTATATGACATTACGCTGCGACCAATAGTTTTTTTAATGCTGCGCGGACGGAGTCGCGGGCGACAGCTAGTTTAATATTACTTCAGGTCAGATATGTTTGTCAGTTTATAGATTAAAATACATACCTATCCAAGATGCTTGATCGATCGTTGCTTTAATATCGGTGGCGTTTGGAGATAATATAGCAGCATTGAGGGCGCTGGGGTGCGCTAAACTAATTCCTATGCCAAGCGAATAGCAACTGCCTGATGTTAATACGAGCATCTGTCAAGTGTAATATAATTAACTCTTTTTAGGTATTAATATAAAGACATAATATCAATCAAAGAGCAAGGATAGTCTTATCTAATCTTTGATTGTAAGTAGAAACATATATCAAAGAGCAAGTATAGTCTATCTAGTCTTTGACTGTAGAGTTTAGGCTATCGATTACCCTCAGATCTAATCACACCACAGAGCAACAAAAGAGATGAGACAAAGGGTTATAGATGTCGAAATGTAACTCCTATTAAAAATGTAACATTCTGTATAGTTTTAATTCATCATCTAAACACTGAAATAAGTGTTTTTTTTAATTTGTTTTTAAAAACGGTAAAAACGAAGCAATCGATGAATTAACCCAATACTTTTTATAATTAGAAAATCAAATTTTAAAGGCTACAAAAGTAAGAAATTACAAAACTTATTAATGTTAGTTAATTTTACTTACTTGTCGCCAAAACGACGGATCGTTTGAACAACACATTTTAAGTTACCTTAATGTTTTTGTTCACGTCACGTCGTTTTACACAAGCAGACCATATTGTAGTAACAATTATCGATATTTAAAGTAAGCCAGTCATCGTTATATATTTGTACATGAGTTTAGATAATGAAATAAACAATTAAAAAAAATATTCAGTTCTAATTAAAAATGCATATTATCGGAAAATACACTTTCGTTTTTTTAATACTTTTTATAGGCACAGCAATAGTATAAAGCCTTTTCAACATTTTTTATAAAATAACTAGCTGTAGCACGCGACTTCGTCCGCGTGGAATGAAAAGAAAATTACTTCCCGGTAATTATTCGAATTTTTCTCACCTTTTAAACCTTCCCCAGACCTCCACGAACATTTGAAGACTAAGATTAGATAAATCCGTTCAATCCAGTCCAGTTTTAGCGAGACTAACAAACAGCAATTTTTATATATCATCATCATCAGCTCACTATACGTTCCCACCGAGGGGCTCGGAGCCTACCCTAAGTTAAGGGTGATATATATATAAGATTTTTGAAGGTTTTATATATATATGTAGAAGATCATTCTTCTCGATATCTTAAAGTATTTACAATGTTCACTGTATTGGAAAGATGGGGGCTATCTTTCTAAGCTCACATATTGAGATTTTATTAAAGATAAAACTAAAAATTTGCAATAAAGTGTACAATGTAAAACAAGAACAAAGAACTCTGAAATTGATAATACGAAGAATGAAAAAATACAAAGAAAAAGATATTGTAATTAGGTAACGTACATTTTAAAATGTATAGAGAAGTTGTTTCCAGTATCAAAATACCTAGACAAAAAGTTTTGTTTTTTTTTGTTGAGAATAAATAAACAACAGTATGTTTTGATACTAGTGTATCAACAATGAAAACTCAAGAGGTTATTAAGTAATCTAACAATGTACACAACATAGTTAATAAAAAAATAAGGATAATTAAGTTATAAGAGCGTCGGTGGCTCAGCGGTTAAGCACTTGACTTGGAATATCTTGGGTTCGAATCCCGCCATGTACCAATGTGTTTTACTGTTGCTGATTTACATATGTACACTTATCCGACGTTCTTACGGTGAAGGAAAACATCGTGATACTGCACATATCTGGGAATAAATTCAAAGATATGTGTGAAGAAGTGAAGTCAACTCGCACTTGGCCAGCGTGGTTGACTATGGTTGTCACCACTAACTTAGGGGAGGCTCCGAGCCCCTCGGTGGGGACGTATGACGCTGATGATGAATAAGGTTATAAAATGTTCTTTGTAATCGAAACAAAACACAATGCAGTTTTATATTTTTTTATTATATAACATATTATTGTAAAGAAATTGTGAATTTAGATATTAGTATGATTTTTTTTATAATTCAACGTACGTTGCCATGTTAGTAACACCACACGTGTTCAGACCTCGACGTATTCTGAAACAAAAGATAAATAATTGGGATTACCTGAGAAAAAAAAGAAGATTTTTTTTATTTTATAACAGAAGGGGACAAACGAGCAGTGGGAACACCGAGGTGTTCAACGACGTCCATGGACATCAGTAATACCAGAGGAACCGCAGATGCGTTGCCGGCCTAAACGGACTAAATTAGGCCTCCGGGGCGCACACTCATCAGACTGCACGCGGAATAGCTTCCACTTGACGCCTGTCTTCTGTGTGGTCGTGGTATTTCACCGGGCTAGCCGGGCCGATTCGTGCGAAGATGCTAAAGCGGGCTCTACCACTGTTAAACTTTTTATGTTTTTGTTTGTATGTTTAAAAGATTTGTCGTATAATAAATAAATTTATTGAAAAACGTAACACTTTTATTTCTGATAGTACCAATGACATTGAGATGACATTATACAGAATGTTTAATTTTTCACAAGTGGAATACTTGGTCATCTATTTCCCTTAAGGATTATATTTTAGGATAAATAGATGAAGTAACCTATTATATTTACCTCTAACCGTGGGTTTCTGAGACACACAGAGATTTTCAGAAACCAAGGGTTAGGAAAATATCTACGTCTATGTATCACTTACCTGATATACCCGTCTTCCCCCCACCGATGTCCCCACCAGTTAAGCAGCAGCCAGTACTCCGGAGTGTAACCCACCAGTAACATGGCGTGGTTCATTCGCCATGGCACGCAAAATGGGTCGTCGTAGATCCCACTCCTATAAACAAACACAATTAAATAAGTAGTCCAGACTATGTTATACATGTGTGTCAAATTTCATCAAAATCCGTTGAGCCGTTCCGGAGATATCTTCAAACAAATATCCATCCATCTAATCTTTCGCATTTATAATATTAGTGAGGTTATTATCAGCGCGAGAATGGCGTAATCAAATTAGCACAAAATAGTACATCCTATAGCCAGTCCATACATGGATGTAATCTAAATCAGTCTTTCTCTCACCTTACTAATTATAATTTCTTGCTGATATCATAAATGTGAATGTTTGGCTGCATAGATCTCGCTAAAATTTGGCATAGATGTAGAACATAGTATGGAAGAACACATAGGCTACTAATTAAGCTATTTTTTAATTCTTCGCAGATGGAGTTGCGGGCGACAGCTTTACCTATAAAGCTGGAATGTCAGCGGCGCAGCATTTACAGCAACTGCGAGTGGACCGATGTTGGCCAGCGCGCGCTCCACCGCCGCCTCGTCACGTGCCGGCAGTGCTGCCCAGCGACGAGGACGTACACGACCTGTCCCCCAACTATGATGACAGTGACCTTTCTGAAAAAACAAACCCTAAATTATTACTTATATCATCATCAGCTCACTATACATCCCCACTGAGGGGTATGGAGCCTACCCTAAGTTAGGGGTGACTAGGCCATAGTCAATGCTGGCTAAGTGCGGGTTGACTTCATACATATCTTTGAATTTCTCCGCAGATAAGTACAGATAGCATCACGATGTTTTCCTTCATCGTAAGAACGTCGGATAAATGTTAATATGTAAATCGGAAATAGAAAAACATATTGGTACATGGCGGGATTCGAACCCTGGACCTGCGGATCGCAAGTCAAGTCCTTAACCCCTGAACCACCGACGCTCTTGGACACAAATAACCAAAAAGTCACTAACTGACGATAAACTGCTGATTAAATTTATTCGTGTGTATTCTTCCAATTAGATATGAGCGATTCTCATAATTCGTCGTTCAGTCCTTTACGTGTGAGGTGAATGGAAAATTTACCTTTCCACGGTATGGATATTGCGTTTCTCTGGCGAGTCCCTCCCTGGCAGCATATCTAAAGGCAGCTTGCAGAGATCCACCATTACATCCCTGGTTGCCATCTTCATAACTGCAATCCACAATCTGCTGGGGACTGCGAAAAAAGTACATATATTATTTAATTGGCAAAAATGGTGAGCATTTTATAGTGTAAAAACTGGAACTGGAATGGATATTGGTAATTTAATGTCTTACGCGAAGTGAAAGTTGCCCATAGACATCTGCTGTTGCAGATGCGTTGCCTATCTTTGATCAACGGAGAAGGGGATGCACATAAAGAGGACATTTCTCCTTCCTTGCGTAGGGGACATTGGGAGTGTACTTACACCTCTCTTTCCTTAAGAAAAGCTAGGAAGGGGAAGAGGACAAAATATACGCCTCCGGCATGCACATTCGTCAGATAGCATCTTACCTCAGTTCATCCCATCTCTTATGCTTCTTGTAGAGCTGAGCTTGCATCGCATGTGCGACAGCAAAGGCATAGCATGCGCCGCAACGCCACTGTTCTTCACGACGTGGCTTGAAGCCTAATTTACGCCAATCCAACTACATAGAAACACCCAGTTATAGAAACTACTCTACTCTTTACTATTATAATATAAATTGAATTAGTACCTATCGTAAAGTCTATGTTACAATTAGTCGTTGCCATGTCTTGTATGTCATTGTCTATGTGTCAGTACGAGAACAAATTGTGATAATAGCGTTTGAGGAAAAGAGATTGATTTAGTACCTATTTTACAGTCTATGTTTCAATTAGTCTTTGCCATTTTCTATTTGTCAGTACTACCAGCGTCTAGATAAGTCTTTGAAACTATAACTCACCGATTTTGGTACTTTATGATGACGGAATTGTCTATATGCCACTCGACGATAGTCCCTTGCTGGATCTAAGAGAGGCACTGTAAATATCAGCTTCAAAATTTCACTTACGTAGTCGTTTACGTGCTAGAAAAATAATAAGCCTAAATTAACTTAGGAACTTA